CATCATATGGATAATAAAGTGATACAATAAGGATGTGTCATGTACTCATGTGTGAGTGTTAGTCACTTAATCGAAATGTTAAAACTTTACGAAACATTCCTCGTGTAACACCTAACCTTCTTCATGTTTAGAATAATTAAAAAAAGTCATGGATTCTATTTCTTTCTTATTGTTTCTAACGCGTCACTATATTGAAATTGCATTCTAATTTAATTTTCTGAGGAACTTTCTAATACATAAAAGCTTTGCAACTCCGATAAAAATTGCTAATTTAAGAGATTTTAGCAATCCAAAATATACGTTGCTAAAAATTTTAAAACAATTTATAGTAAAAAAAATTACTAAACAATCCTACTTAAACTCTCTCATTCATCATGCTCTTACAATTCAAATTGGTAACAACTATGTCTAATTGAAAACAACCATGTTATATAATCCAAAATCTATGTACTATATGTTTGGATTCTCTTGTTATAAAACAAAACTTGTACTAATAGTTAGTATTTTATTTTCTTTTAAAATGAGTAATGGACCATATGTCACGTTATTCACGATATCACGCGAAAACGATAAAACCAAAGAAGATGTAAAAAAGGTATTGAAAAAACAAAAATGTGATTGAGACAATTCACCTAAAGTTCACATGCCATTCATCATCTTCCACATAAAACGACATTCAACTGCTCTGAAAACGACGACAATCTCTTCTTCTTCTTTTTTTTGCAGAACTTTAAAAAAATTCAGTTAAGTTTCTATTTATTTCTTCTTATGTCCCAAAAGTAATCACGGTTTCTTGATATCTTTAACCATATTATCAAGTAATCAAAACTTCTATACTATCTCTTCAAAAATTACCTGTTTAACTGTCATAATAAAATACTAATTTTTATGTGAGTGGAAAAAAGATATTTTGAAAAGCGCGTGAGAGACATAAGTGGAGTGAGGTTGGTTCAGAGTTCACGGTGACCACACAGCTACGTTAGATGACAATTAAATCTGAGCCGTTGATCATGACCACGTGGCATAAATGTAACGGTCATTGAATTTTTGGAAAGGTCAGATAACGGCAGTGAGTGACGGAAAACGCGTGAAGGGCTAAAAAGAAACTTTTCAAAGTAACGATGAGACGGACACGCGCAATCCATGCCTTTGATCTTATTGGATAC